GCACAAAGAAACTAAAGTTTATAGATGTTGTTTTTCCAGCTGCAGGAGCTCTACTTTAACTTGATTTTCCAAACTGAAACCTGGCACGTTCTCCTCCACCTCTGAGCCTCACAATTATTATTCCATTAGCGGGAAACTCCTGAACCTTTCATAAACCAAGGAAGGCCATTGACTAAAGACAATTGTTCATATCAGTATTCTTAGTTTTTACATTAAATGCAGAATTTTAAAAAGTGACACGAGCTGCATGCACTGCTGAGGTTTTGTGGCTTCTTACCTGTCCCATCAGAGATGCTCTAACATTGAAATTTCTCAAGCCTTTATCTTTTATAATCTACATAATAATTTATATAATCTATATTATCTTTATCTTTTATAATTATGAGAAAAAAAAACAAATTTTGTGTCTAAAAAAGTTGGAAAATTACAAAAGATCAATTAGACCCATATTTTAAACAGAAACGTCACTTTTCTGAAAGATATTATGCATCAATACTTATGGTTACAAACCCATCAGCCTGAGTCAGGGTCAGCCTAACCCATCAGCCTGAGGCTCTGCTGAGGTGTGATGGAAGCCCAGGTGAGATACTCCTGATGGTGTCTCTGCTTCAGGAGTGGTTTGGCTTGAGGAATATGATGTCTGTAGCCCATGTGTAGGATCGATCTGTCCGTAGAGGCTCTTGATGCACTGACTCCAGCCTCAGTCCTCTCCTGGTGAGGCTCCTCCAGATTCCTGAATGGGCTTTTCTCGATTATCCTCTCATGGCTACGGTTCTCCCTGATGCTGCTGCACCTTTTCCTACCAACTTTCTACCAACAAGTATAGATGCAGCACTCTGAGAACCAGACGTGTGACCAAGTCACTGCTTTGCAAGTCACAAGTAAGTCTTTCAAGTCTCGAGTCAAGTTCAAGTCAAAGACAATCAAGTCCAAGTCAAATCCAAAGCCAATGATGTGGAAATCCAAATTCAAGTCCATGTCCTTAACTTTGAATTTTCAAGTCATAATCGATTTATCTGTCCAACTTCAATTTAATGACGATGATAATAAATAAATCCCAGAAATAAAGCTTCTTAAAGCTTCATTTATTTGCTCAAACAAGCAGAAAGTGCAACAGAAACTGATTATAAACAAAGTTCTGCTGCATTTAGCAGAACAAGATCAAACCCAGAACCAAGAATGATTTATGATTTTTGTCCATGTAGTGTCACCTTTGTGCTAAAATATCAAATATGCTCAAGTCATCATCAAGCCAACAGACACAAGTCGATTCAAATCACAAGTCGTTGGCATTCAGGTCCGAGTCAAGCCGTAAGTCTATATAGATTTTATCAAGTCAAGTCAGAAGTCATTGAAATAATGACTCGAGTCCAAGTCATGCGACTCGAGTCCACACCTCTGTTGAGAACATCCAGCTTCATTTTGTAGCTTTTCCTCCTTGTGGACAATGTCATTGACAGTCTAGATCCTAACTTCATGACAATCCAGCATTGTACAGAAAATACACGCTCCATGAGGAATGTTCCAAAACTGATTTTTCCCTGTTCTGATTTATCTCAAAGAAAATAATTAATAAAAAAATGACCCTTTATCTCACCTAAGAAAATTATAATTAACTTATTAACGTTACATTTTTCATTATTGTTGTCTCAGTTTAAAATTAGCATCCTACTGAATATTCACCATTTCTGATACCCATCAGCTGATCTAGTGCATCACTAATCTAAAATCACATTGTAATAAAACGGTCCAGAAGAGTTGACGAGGTTAGGGCAAGTGTGATGTCACTGAAGCAAAAAAAAAAATTGACCAAAAGCAAGAACAATTTAAATGAGAACTGAAATGTCCTCATTTTAAAATAGTTAAAACAGCAGTAATTACTCTAATCCCACGACCATCACATCATCATCATGCTGCAGCTGCTGACAGGTCGCCAGGTGCTGGTCCACTACGCCAGAATCAGAAAATCCCATTTGTCATCTGGCCCTTTTTGCTGAGCAAGTTTTTGGTCCTGCTGTCATAACCTCACACACACACACACACACACACACACACACACACACACACACACACACACACACACACACACACACACACACACACACACACACACACACACACACACACACACACACACACACACACACACACACACACACACACACACACACACACACACACACCTTACAGCAACTCTGTGAAATTCCTGCACAATAGAGCACAAAAGTGTAGATTTTCTCTGAGACCAGCCGGGATGTTTCTCCTTGGCTGCTTTTGGGGTGCCCATCAGACTGTGACTGAAGCTCAGGCTGGTGAGCAAAGGCTGGGTGTGTGTGTGTGTGTGTGTGTGTGTGTGTGCATGCATGTGTGTGTGTGTGTGTGTGTGTGTGTGCGTGTGTGTGTGTGTAGTGATGGAGCTAAGGGCTAAAGTCATTTAGGAGCTGATTTGAGGAACAGATTGCAGATTTTAATTGATCATATTTGCAGTAAAAATCCACTCCAAGCAGCTTCTTATTTGCTTTTTTTCTGATTAGGGAAGCTGTCTTCCTCTGACTACTGAATTAATGGCGTTATAAAAGGCTAAAAAACAAAAACACAATCTGCAAATCAAAGCGTCTGCATGGATGTGATGAAGTACAACAGGATTCCTGTAACACGAAGAGCCGTTCCCAGAGGGATTCTGGGGAAAGGCAGTGAAACCGGAGTGGTGGAGGCTGTTCCACTAACAACAGACACACAGCCCTTCCCAGCTCTAAACACCACCTGGTCACAGTCCAACAAGGCTTTGTGCTCTGCTCCTGTACAATCCCACTGATGGAATAATGTAATCACTGTCCCAGCTCTTTTTCTTGTAGCTATTTTCTTCCTGTGCTCTCTGAACATTGGGAGTCATAAAATATTAATCGTCCCATTGCTGCAGGTGGATGCTGGATCGGATTTCTAAGATGCGTTTATTTCTAAACAATGTGCCTCTTGGGGCTTTTGGGAACCGAAAATAAGAGTTTGTGTAGCTTTAAAAGTTTGTGATTGCTTGAATAGGTCACAGCAGACATGTTGGCTCAATGCTTTAGTCTGTTCAGGGTGGCTGATGGAGAAAGATCAGAACATAGGGGAGGTGTGCTAATCTGGTGCTGATGTTAATCTGGATCCCAGATCTTGGGTTAGAACATTTCAAAATGTTTGTGCCTCAGAAAGGAGTTTGCTTAGTTGCATTTGCGCAGAAACAGGACATCTTGTTTACCACTTACAGTATTAGCTTATGTTCATTAGTATTTGTTGTTAAAGCGTGTCCGTGTGTGTGTGTGTCCGTGTGTGTGTGTGTGATGCTTCGGACAAGCAGGAAACTAAAACAGTGTTGATAGTAAATTATAAATCCAATATCAGGCGGTCAATACTGTCAGCCACTGACAGGCTGGCGCTTTCCTTTTAAGCACAATGGGTCGATATATTGATGCTATTACATGCAAACATCCGACTGAGAAAACCTAACTGGAGGGGCTTCATTTGGCAGCTTTTTCTGAGAACCAGAAGCACCAAAACATGATCTGTTGGGACTTCACGCCAAAGAACAAACCCTTCCTGGTAGTTTCTTAATGGACCATGTTGCGATTTCCTACTTCTTCTACTAATAAGTTGTAACTTTTCCCACATTAATGTTAGATTGTACACCAAAACAGATTTATAGTGGGAAATATATATATTTTAATACCATTAAACAAGGGATGTCCAATATTATCAGACATAATTTAAAATGTAATAATGGAAAATATTGGTATTTTACCATAAACATAGTATACATCAAACTCTTTAGCTCCCCTCTTTCAAAATGTCAAAAGTTGTTGAGATATTTGAGTTTGTTTGACACATCTTGTTAAGCGCGGCAGCTGGCCAGTTAGCAAACTGCTTAGACAGAGAAAAGTTCACTCATGGCTTGTTTTTCTTAATTGAATTTCATCATAAATGTTTTATCACCATGGCTGCAATCTACAGAAGAAAATATATATTAATAACTAACACACACATCTTGGCCTCACATGACCAGTTAGCCTAACTTAGCATGTGTGTACACTGCGTACATTTTATCAACTAAATAAATAACCAGCTTAGTGGCCTAGTACTATGAGTGTCCGCCCTGAGACTGGGAGATTGTGGGTTCAAATCCCAGGTGGGTCAGACTTTAAAAATGGGACCCAATGCCTCCCTGCTTGACACTCAGCATTAAGGGGTCGAACTGGGGGTGGGGTGGGGTTAAACCAGTAGTTCCTGAGCACAGCCGTGTCTGCAGCTCACTGCTCCCTACGGGGATGGGTCAGATGTGGAAAACACATTTCATCACACACCAGTGTGTGACGACTTAACTTCTGAACACACATCCAAGCCTTTCCTTAACGCATTGATGGTTACAAAAATGAAGCTTCTCCAAGGCACAAACATATAAAGCACATTCAGCGTGTTTGTGATCTGTTTATTCTCTTGTTTCTGCCTAAAAGTAAATAACGTGAGTGGAGAAAAATATGGTAATGATAGGTCTGAGGTGAGAGCACTCACTCTGTCACCTTTCTGCACAGAGGACATAACAAAGATTGTAACAATAATGTCTCACTTTGATCTGTTTCAAAACCTAAAACATTTTAACCTTTTTAACACTAATTTACCTGTTTTATTTATGAACTTATTAATCACACTTTTTCCCCATTATGAACTTAATAATTATCTTTGGCCTGAAGGAACTGGTGCTGATTGACCGCAGCCTTCCCCAGCCTCACTTGCTGCTTCCTGTTCAACAGGAAGTCAGTGATCCACCTGCAGATGGGGTCAGGCATGTTTATCTGGGACAGTTTGTCTTGGTGGAGGTCTGGGAAGATTGTGCTGAAGGCAGGATCACACAAACAAACAAACAAACAAACACACACACACACAAACAAACAAACAAACAAACAGGATCCTGGTGTTACATATAATGGCTTAGATGTTTAAGATGTTTTCACTCTTTCTTGCAGGTGCAGCAGCTCAGTAGTTGTGACTCTGCTCTGATCAATGACAACCTGCTCTGATGTTTGTATGGGTCTTCCTCATCAACTAAAGGTAAGATTAAAGAACAAAACAAAACTTCTTGGTTCAATTTTCATTTTATTTAGAGGTGTGGAACACTCGTTTAATTAAACAATTTGCAGTGCTTTCTTGTAGGAATGAGTGCCTTAAGTCGTGTTCTGGAGAAAAAGGTCGGTGCACCAATTTGAGGAAGAGGGCAGGATTTGGACTCTTATTGTGTGATATTTGGACATCTCACCCTAGAATAGATAACAGCAGTGGGGCACCATTGACTCAGTTTGCCCTGCAATGTTGATGTTTTATTTCCTCAAATAACGCAAGCTTGGAAGTTTTGTTGTGTGGTGGAGTTGCTAATGCTAAAGGTTAGCTTCTACTTGCCGAGAAGCTGTCTGCTCTCTCTCCTGGACGTTAAAACAACAGCCTCCCATGCCCTGAGTCAAGATGGGTGAGTCCATGAATGTCAAGTGACAGAGTGACGCAGATCTGTCAGGATTTTCACATCCTAGAGTTCCACCGACTATTTCCTGTCAGAAGCTGATGCAGGAGATAGATGTAGGAGACTATTTTCATGTTCAGCCTGCATGGAAAACCCAGAAGGACCGATTATAATCAGTAACAATCTTTAAATTTATTTTCCACACCTTTAAATTTCTTTTAGCAAAGAAACTAAATGAAAATATAGCAACATGTAAAGTCTGCAAGATTTTTCTCTGGAATAAAAACTTCCTCTCACTATTAATATTAATATTAATACCATATATATTTTTTGCTTTTGGCTCTACATCAGTGACAACCAGTGATAATCAATGGAATGCATGTTATAAAAATTCAAAGTTGATCTGCAGAAATGGAGACAGCATTCAAACGGCTGCAAAGAGACAACTCATCAAGCAGGAGTCAGGATGATGGATGGCAGACATGACATAATGACTGAAGCTGAGGTGTGGATGCCTTTGCTGCCTTGTTAGTCAAACTGTGTGGTGGATTTATTTAGAAGTGTAGTAAATGACTACATAGTTGATCTGATTCCAGCTGCTGGTGCATCTTTTATCTTCCGTCATGGAGGAACTAAACAAGTCCGTGTGATGGGTGTGATTTACATCCATTAGATGGTCTCCACATCCTGTTCAGGCTTTTTAAAAGGGTCTTGAGTAACCACTGTTTAGGTCTCTATCTTTTCAACGAGCTTTCAGAGCTTGCCTTCCTTTCACTCTCTTCCAAAATACTGATGTTCTTGTTTTGAGGAAGCAGGGTAATGTGTTGTTACCTGGCTAACAATTTGCACACTGATGCTGGTTGCCTAGGAGCCATGGACTGAAGTTGAACCTATTTATGGAAGTAAAATAAAATAAAAACAAAAAAATAAACTTCAGTTTACACTAGGCTCTTTCTCCAGTAAATTTCACTTCAGTGTTCCATTAATTCACTGTTTTACTTGGGTGCTAAGTTTCACAGATATTTTTGTAGACTGCCAAGTTTATTCTTATAATAACTGAAAGAATAATTTACATAGAAAGGCATGTCCCAACTCCAAACCCAGTTTTGTTTCCTGTTCTTCTGCTTTAGCACGTTCGGTTTAATGGGATCGTTCTTCTGCCGATTCATGGTGGGAGTACTCCATCACACAGCCTGCATCTGGCCACCTCTAGCAGGAGTTACAGCCTGGACTTGCATGAGAGTTAAGCTCTAAGACATGTAGGGGAGATTTAAAGACTCGCAAAAAAATTGCATGAAAGGCAAATAGCGCTGTGCTCACATGTGATTATGTAAAGCACCAGAATTTGAACCTAGACCTCTTCCTCCTCCACCCCACAGGGTTTATGTTTCTGTCTGGAGAGTCTCTGATATTACTGAGAGGACCAGTTTCTGGGACTGCCTGGCTGTCGTTTCTGTTACAGCTCACAACTTTAACCTCAAAGCTTAGTGTCTTTTCATGATTTCATAATTAATGTCTTGTCTCTTGAAAGCCATGAAAATCCTTCTTTTATTATCCAGAAAGGAAAGAATAAGGCTGAAAGCCATTTACTAAAATGATCTTTTCTGCTCCTGGATTTGGAATTTTTTCTTGACTGTAAATCAAAGTCACCTGGGTTGGTGGTTAAAACATCGCCTTATAAAACGAGACAGCCATTTAAAAAATGAAATAAGACGTATTTGTTCACGGAAACATCGTTACAAACACAATGTTTCTTAAATTTCAAGGCCAGGGTGACCCAAACTTTACCCTACCCCTGACCAGATGTACCAAATAAAAGGCCACACATTAATATTTCATTCGACCACCTTTAGCTTTGATTACAGCATGAAATCTCATTGTTTCCATAAGCTTATGTAACGTTACACTGCATTAATGTTCACCAAGATCTTTGAATTGATGATGGCAGAGATAGACTATTGTCCTTTTTCAGCTCATTCTGAAAATGCTCAAAGGGGTTCAGGTCTGGACTTTGTGTAGGCTGATCCATGTGTGAAAATCACGTCATGCTCTCTGAAAAACTCTTTCACAGCTTGAGTTTGATGAAGCCTGACATTGTCATCCTGGAATATTTTGTGTCATCAAAGATGAAAAATGCCATATATGTAGCAACCTGGTCATTAATACATTCTTTGGTTGCATACTAAGACTCAAACCACTGTACCAACCCCAAATTGCAAATCCAGGAGGCGATTTTTAGTTTTTAGCTTAAGGCAGTGACCTTCACAAAAATAATTAGGATACTTTAAGCTCTCAGTGTTGATGTGCAACACATAGGGATGGGACTAAGTGGGGTAAAGGGGTGAATCGAATGCACACTAACCCCGGTTTCACACTGAAAGCATCAGTGGCGTGGAACATCAACGAGACGTCACTGCTTCAAATAGACTCTATTATAGTCTATAGAGTGTTTCAAACCAGCAGTGATGTGACAATTTCCAGGCGTGTCCCAGAAGCGGCATGCCGTGTCGCGCCACTAACAATAGGATTGGGTTCTATTTTTGCCGCATGCAGCTTCTGGGATGCGTCAATTTCTGCAGTCAACACAGGGCTAGACAGAAAATCACACATGGTTTCAGTGTAAAATCACCAGTATATTTCAAAATAAAAGTACTGCAGCAATGCAATTTCATATATATGAAGCTTACGTGTGACCCAATGGCTTATTTACTCACAGCATCATTCCAGAAGTGCAGCGGTGTGTTTTTCATGGCTTTAGTCCTGGCAGTGGAGAAGAACAACATCATATATGACATCAAACAGTGATATCAAACGTGATTTCCTTCTTTTTGGCTTAATGGTGGATTGCATAAACAAACAATGACCAGAAGTCTCGAGGGATCTTGTAATCTCGCGGGTCCAGTGAAGAGCACAGAGAGGAAGCTGTGCCACTGCCAAGACTCTCCTGGGGTGAAAAGGGCCGCTTTGAAACTCGCAAATGCACCGTTCCGCAGCCGTTTTGCACCGCTGATGCTTCTAACGTGAAACCGGCGTAAGGAGTGATCTGCAGAATCATAGCTTTATAGAAGAAGAAGAAGAAAATATCATTTCTATAGCGTCTCTCAAGATAAAAATCACGAGGCGCTTCACAAAAACAAAATATGTAAAAATACAATAAAGAATTTACAAAATGGTAAAAAATATGTTTTAAATCGGCAAAAAATAGACAATTGTGATTAAAAAAATTCTCTATCTGGCCTATATTGTTATATCTGGTATAATCAGAGATACACATTGATTAAATGAGTACACCTTATGCTGGTTTTTGGTTAGTAAGGATAAGCTGATGGGTGTGCAGTTGGGCTGATGAATGTTCATAACATATCCATATGAACAGTAAATATGAGCTTCTTTGAATTAGCTCTGTGCATATGCACACATGCGGCTCCTTACTCATGAATATTGTTCCCATCATGCATTGCTGTGCCTGCTCAAAGTTTCAGGTTCAGGTCCAGCAGGTTCAAGTTGGACTAAAAGAGTAGAGAGGGTTAAGAGGGCTGTTATCAGGCCAGTAGAGTCATCCTTCTACAACCAAGACTCTAATAGCAAGGTCACTTTGAGTCCTGGCCCTCCAAAATGTAATTTGTTTAATTAATTCTCAGGAGCCTCAATAAAAAGGTGGTTTTGATAGTAAGACAATGCATGTTAATCTACTGGCAAGGGACCAATTATGGTTGACTGTCACTGTGCATGCTCCAGTGTGAGGACTACTTTGACCTCGGCAGGTCTGAGCTCCATTTAACCCCCCTCAAATTTCAATCTCGATTCGATACTGGGAGAAAAAAAAACTCGATACTCGATTTCGATACTATTTAAAAACACCAATTTGTTGAACAAGTTTATTCAAAAAATAACATTCCTCAATTTATATTGCAAAAATTAAATGTTAAGAATTAAGTGTGTAAAGTGCTTAAACCTTTCAAGTATCAGCATTTTTTTAAAACGTGCATACAAAAACTGGCGAAAGTTAACACTTTAAATCATGAATTGTCTCACTATATATACACTATTTGCAGAGTGATGTTTTGCTGCTTAAACTCTGTTTAAGGTGCATTTTTGTCATAAGATGTAATGCCATATGTTTTGTTCTGTACTTTTGAACAACTCTGTTGATCCGTAAAGGGAGAAAACGAATTTCTCCACAGTAGGACAAAGGTACATCTACCGGTAATCTTAATAAAAACGGATTGGCGCACGGCAGTGACGTCATTAAAAGCGCCGGTTAGATTAGCCACAGCTAGTCTGTTCACGCCTAGAAATCCCAGACTTGATCCAAACGAACAGGGGAATCACGTTAATGATTCCTAACAAAACCTTTTGACATTGAGATGTTTTTGTGCAGATATTGTCCTAGTTTGAGGCTGCACCATGGGTGCCCGTCTGCACCCGTTATATGGATATACACTATGGCGATTCGCCGATGGATCTAAATACCCCGGGGAATCCAAGTATTACCAAAGTTGTCAGTGTGAGTAAACAAACTTACTGCATGCTAGAAATTAAGTCCGGGTTGCAATAAACGGGAGTTTTCCTTTAAGCACATAAGCGTGAATATACA